GGTTATCTCACTTTGACCATCTGATGTACCTCTACGTAAAGTACCATTAGCATACATCTGATGATCAGATCATCGGGAGTTGCCATGACACCCGATGATCTGATTATCCGGCCTCATGGGGTTGTACGCTCAATTTCATGAAGTTAGAAAAAAAATGTTAGTTTTAACGAAATGTTAGTTGTATACAGATGTCTCCTCGGTTGTTTAAGTCAATGGGCGCTATCCAGCACAACAGTCCCACACTCTGTGGCGAGTGTTGGACCTCACAGTCATGTCACGTAGGATCAAGGTCTTGCCTTGAGTCATCGGAGATACTACTACGACCGTGTGTGCCAGCTATACCTCTCACGGCTCCTTGCGACAGGATAGGGTTCCGCGAGGTACAACTCACCTTTACCTTAGGGGTTGTCACCACCCTTGGGTAGGCGTATCTCTATTGAGCTACTAACCCATGTGCGAAGGTTTTTACTTGCAATCATAGAGGTAAGTCAGTCGAGGGTGTTTGCCTCGTCGCTATAGCATAGGCGTATGTGTCGTAGATCGTCTAAAATTGACTCGTATATGTGTCGGGCATCGGAGCGTTGATTTACCGAGCCGACTTACGATTCAGGTCGACTTGACTGACGAACTTTTGTTCATACAATATCTTAACTTATTGTCATTAACCCATAAGTTACTCATGTTATTTTCAATCAGTGTGCATATTGCAGTTATTAAATTTCAAGGTTTAAGACTTATAGGCAAGGAGATATCTTTGCATTTTTACACAAACAAGGGCAAAAACGACTATGGACAAAGTTTTGACTTTTGAAAGAGAAACAACATAGACTTTTGAAAGAGAAACAACATAGACTTTTGAAAAACGTGGCCTTTCAATGAAACATGAAATGTATAGGGATCTCAACCTTGTCAAACGACCTTAATCTGTTTAACATAAAGAAAAAGTAAAGTCAAATATCCAAACCAAATATACAAAGGTTACGTGTCGATGAAGTTTTTGAGTCAAGGCTCATATAAACATAAGTTTGTCAATGAGAGTCGCATGAATAATATATGGTTGGTCGCTTTACTGACCTGCAAACAAAAACCAAACGCATTACATAATTCTAGCAGAGTCAACGATTCATTCACTTTCACTCACATTACACTTTCACTTTTAAACCTCTCAGCAAGATACCCCCTTTTCGACTTAGTTATTTAGTCTCATCTGATTTCAGTCATTCAAGGACTTTTTTTTACCAAACACAGACCATTCAGACAACGACTTGAAAATCAGGAATGTTCTTTAGTAAAGAGGTCGATGCAAAGCGTCGATGTCGAGAGTGGGTGAAGGTTGAGTCGGCGAACCAACCTGTTACCATATGGCAACAACATGTAGTCTTGTATAGACTCGTAATGAGTCCTCTTGAAAGTTAAGGTCACCTGCAATCACACACTGGTCAACACGCTCTCGACACCCCTTTGCAATTGATATGACCGTACGTAAAGTTCAACAATATGAACTCCAAATCTAACTAAAGACTTTAATATAATCTGATTAAATGTAACTATGTAGTATGAAGACCCTCACTCGAGCCTTCATCCTCATACTTACTAGTCAATATGAATTCAATCGAGCAGTAGGATGGCGTGCACTAGAGTCTTTATCCTGCTTTTTTAGAGACCCAATAAACCTACTCTCAAACAAGTAATCTTTCTTTCGTTTTCTCAGTTCTTTTTTGTTTGAGCACCCCCAAGTAGTACATTGACTTGCTCTGGAGTCTTGTACCACTTGATCAATAACAGGCAAACTTAGTTCAAACAAGTAGTCATATGACTCACCCTAGAGCAATGTAGTCCACTGTACGTAGTACGGGTGGTCCCCGTGTAGTTTCTGCGTACGGACGTATGAATGGTCGTACGGTCGTACGGACGGGTCCAGTCTGAACGTGCCTGGGTCCAGTGGGGTGGTGACGAGGGGGGGTTGATCCCCAAGGATGGTAGAGGGGGTCTCGAGGGGCCACGTAGTATTTTTCAAAATATTATATATAATAGAAAATAATTAAAAAAAAAAAAAAAAATCAAACGAATCTACCGCTACAACATGAAAAATATATATTTCCACACTTGTTTTTGTTTGTTTGTGTGTGTGTATGTGTGAGAGAGAGAGGGTAAGTTTTCAACCCCGCAGCTGACCTCATGGTACTTCGGTCGAATGGATGAGCAAAATTGAATGAATCTACCGCTAGAACATGGAAATATACATTGCCACACTTGTTTTTGTGTGCGCACACGTGTGTATGTGTGTGTGTGTGAGAGCGAGAGAGAGAGAGAGAGAGAGAGAGAGAGAGAGAGAGAGAGAGAGAGAGAGAGAGAGAGAGAGAGTGACAGATAGAG